CCCCAAACCCAAAAAAAACCCCCTGTCAAAAACAAAAAAAAAAAAAAAAAAAAAAAGAATGGACAGGTCACCTTGGGACCTGTGGGAAGGGACCATTAGTTAGCAGTGCAGGAAGACCTCAGTCTTGCTTCAGGAGAAACTAGTGCCCCAGACAGTGGCACAAGGCTGACCTGGCCTCAGGTAACAGTCCTAGTTATGATCAGTCGATCATAAAGTCTCCCTCTTTCCCCTACCCTGGCCCACACCATTAGCTGCCACCAGCAAGCACACTTTGCAGCGTGACATCCTTTCTGCCTGTGAAGCCACACAAACCCCTCAATTTGAATTTTTTTCCCCCTGGGTGGCTAATTGGACACTTGATGAATGTTCCAGCAAAGACGGTTTCAGAGTGAGACAGGCTCTGAGTGTTCACTGTGGGCTTTTAAGTCCCCCAAGTGGAGCCAGAGATGGCTTGGTAACAACATTTAATTGTCATATTGATTTGATGATAATGGGAAATCCCCAGGTGATTATGAGCATATTAATACTGCACTTGGACCCAGACCAGCCCTAACACTGGGGGGTCTTCAGCATAACCTGCTGCATGTCCAGGTATACCCTTGGGCTCCCCCAGAAGCATCAGCTTCCAGTCATTTGTCACCCAGTAATAAACACATGAGCAAGAAGACATCTTTTATGTAGGAGTCCGCTGAGCTGGATGCCATCCTGCTCTGCTTCTGTCAGCTATTTTTAATCTCCTAAGATGCTGATTACTCATTTTGCAAAGTTCTGCTTGTTGATAAATACAGGGATTTGTTGAAAGATCAAACGCATTGACGGAGAGAGAACGATGGGCTCCCAAGCTCTGGTCCTCTTGCTTTCCTTGGGCCCTGAAGCAGTTCTCCAAGGTCCCGGGGGCTGCCTGTACCAGTGTTTCCTAAGGAGCTCAACCTTCCAGATGGCTGGAAAATAAATGTCAGCTCCAAGCACCTGAGAGTTAAGTCCACCCCCAAGAGGCCCACTGGATGAAAGAGCAGCTGGGGATCACAGAAAAGCCAGAGGGATCCCAAAGAATCCTTGGCCCATGAAGATATGTCATCTATGCTCATAGGGTAGGACAAAGACTGAGAGAACCTCCCTAGGTGTACCCATGCAAGGGAGTAGAGCATGCGAGAGGTACAGGCACCCATTAGCTACTAAAGAGCAGGCCCCTTTGGGTAAGTCAGTCTCTGTGCCACATGGCAGCAGTGATGAGAATTCAGGGTGACAGGAAGGTCAGTGTAATGGGGACAGACACGAGGGTGCTTTGTTCCACAGTAAGCACTAATGGTACAAATTGCTATTATATTGATAATGAATGAGATATACAGTGTATTATAATTATATTACATTACTGTGTTACAGGAATAGAGCAAGATTACATAATTATAGATTAAAACAACAGCACCATAGACAAACCTGTATTATATCATTATATAAATAACTGGGTCTAATATTTTACAGCAATATATTGCAGGAGCTGTGGTTACTGCATAAATGATAGTGGAACGCCTCACTCAGCTAGGTCATTTGCATGTCATTAGCATATCCTTCTCAAGCAGGAAGCTGACAGATTGAGCTGACGGGAGGGCTCATGGCTTGGCAATCAGCCACCTGGAATAACAAACTCTCAGGAAATTTGTGTTTGGCGGAATGTGTCATTATGCCGAAAGACTGAGGACTAACAACCACATAATCTTTCTCATCCCCCAGCTCTTTCTGTGGGAGCTCTTTGGCTTGCTGCCATATTGGCTTAAAAAACAGATATCTGAACTCTGACACTGCCCCATTACATATTAGCTATACATCTTCTATCTATGACTGAATGGCATCAGCCCTTGCTGCCCCGTAAGAGACTTCGGCTTCTTCTTCTATCCAAGTTCAGAAGTGGATGTCACTTGGCTGTCCCCTCCCCACACACTCAAGAACCAGAGACACGGTGCACATAAGACCCTCTTCCTAGAGGACCCACCTCTGAGCTAATGATGGCTCTTGTCCAAAGAAGGCTCATGGGGGAACATGAGAACTGTGTACTTGTCATAACCATATGCTAACCAAAATCCCTGGTGTCACAGTGAGCAAACTCAGGCCCATGCCTTGGGTGCAGACACATACAGAGCAGCTCCAAGTGTGGGAAGCCACAAATATGCCCTGTTAGTAGGTCTAAGGAAGTGTTGGGGCAGCTACAGTCAAGCAGGAGCACTGAGGGCAGCTAGGTCCTTGGATCACTGAACAGAAATGCTGGCTAGTGGGTTGATGGAGCTTGTCCTCCAAAAGCAAACCTCAGGGACCACAAACAGCCCCTTGCCCAGCCCACTTAGCTCCCATTCTCCAGCAGTGGTTCCCTGCCTCATCTCTCTCAATGTGTCTAGACTTCATCTCACCTTGCTCCTTCATCCTGCACTGTATGCGAAGCAGCTCTGCCTTCTCCCCTCTCTCTCTGGGGCTGGAAAATCCTAGCATCCTACAGTGGTCCTACTACACACTGGAGACTAAGCCTCCAGCCAGCCCTACACACTGCCAGGTACTCTTGGGTCTGCCTTAGCAACCATTTCCTCTCAAAAGCAGGGGCTCGCTCCTCTCTCCTCAAAGCCCAGATCCCACATACAGGCTCACTGACTACTTTTGGCCACCCCACCTCCTGCTTACCAGAGTAAGTAGGGCCATGGACTGAGAACTCACATGTCCTGGAGGTACAGTATTTGCTTAGAATACAGATGGCCCTGAGTTTGATTCCCAGCACTCCATAAAGAGGGGATCACTGTCCACATTTATGAGTGTGCCACTGGGGAGATCTCAGATATTATATTCATCCTTGGCTGCTTAGGAAGTACCACATCACCCTGGAGTTCATGTGTCCCTTCCTCAATTAAAAAAAGAAAGAAAAACATCTTTCATGTGTCTTGGATAACTCCAGCTGTGCGGTTCTCCAATTCCACTTTGCTTTCTCCTGCACTCGTGCACACAGCTCCTTCTGCTTTAATTGGTGTCTGCTGTCTCTGCCAGAAACCTTACAGGATCCAGGGGCCTTCAGTTCTTTGTCCCGTCCTACAAAGACAAATAGCAGATCCCCAAGGGGTGAGGGAGGGCTCAGGGCTCTTCAGAGTTCCCTGTGATCCCCAGCTGTGTGCTCTCTCTCTCTCTCTCTCTCTCTCTCTCTCTCTCTCTCCTCTCCCTCTTCCTCTTGCTAAGTAGGATCTATGTTACCCAGGCTGGCCTTGAACTCCTGGCTCAGCATCTGAGTGCTGAAACTGAGTTGTGCATCATCCTCTCTTGCTTATACTGCAAAGTCCCCTTGGTACCCACAGAGGACTAGTTCCTGTAGGAACTAGTAGACCCACATCTGTAAGTGCTCAAGTCCTCATATAAAATGGCATAGTATTTACTTACAAATACTTGTGCACAGCCTGCTGTAAACTCTAGGTACTTCAAATCATTTCACACACCACTTACAATATCTAATACAGTGCAAGTGCTATGTAAAGAGCTGTTATACTGTATTGCTTTTGGAAATAATGGAAAATCTGTACATGTTCAATACAGATACAGTTTTTCAGCTATTTCCTATGTGCAAGTGACCTCATCTACAGATGCAGAATGCACAGATTTGGAGTCTGGCTGTTTAGTTAACTTTTGCTCATTCCCTTGGGCTTCACCCTATCTACACAAAAATGTACTTAACACCCCTCCACCTGTGCTGCCATTGAAAAACCAGTGTTGTGCCAGACTCCATTTCTGTGGGCTCAGGAGAAGCAACTGATAACATTTGGAGAACCATGCAACCCAGTTATTATTAAAAATTAGAATTCCATCTTAACACTCCTTATGATTCATCGCTTCCTGGCTAGCCACCGTATTTCCCTGTGCTCTGCCTGAGGTGTCACATGACTGTTGGAGCTGCATGTGGGAAGACAATGTAGATAGCAGTGACCACAGCACAGAGGGGCTTCTCTTGGACCCCCACATCCTGCTGGCTGATAGGGTCAGACAGGTGGAAGGGTTTATGTCACAAAAACCAGCAGGTGTTACCAGGATGTTTTTCTCATAGAGGTGGCTGATAAACACTAATGAGCATTCTACTAACAACTCCACCCACAGACGGAGGATTCTGTGTTCCTTTCTAAGTACCCCCATCTGCCTTCTTCAAGGCTCAGTTTCTTTAGAGAGAAGTCAGCATCTGCTGCCTCCATCTCCAATGTACTCCTCGCTTCCACTCTGACACATAATGCCTTGTGAGCATCTCACTTCACCTATAGTGCCAATGACCTCAAGGAACACCATGGCCTGCTCAGGACTTTACCCCACCACCCACACTTGAGTCCCTTCGTCTTCTACAGCATAGGTGCTGACTGATGACCTTCGCTGACTGCCCCACCCCTCCCAGCCGCCCGTCCCAGCCAACCCAGAGTGTGCGCTCAACATCAGGACCACTTGTACTCCCCAGTGCATCCCTTAGCTCTCATTTCCATCTCGGTGCTGGTGACCCCAAAGCTAACTATTCAACCCAGATCTACATGTCCAGCTGCCCACTGCACAGCGCTGACATGTTCCCACAGACACTGATTAAAATTAACTCTTCCTTCTCTAGCAGCCTCCTCCCCAGTTCTTCCAAGATGAAGAGTCCCCAAGGCACCCCATGTAGCCCTGTCCCTCTCAGCTACAACACCCTTACAGCAAACGTACCTCTCATCACCTCTATGCCCAGTCCCCCACTCATATCATCCTTTGACCCATCGCCTGTTTCTCTTCAAGCTTCCTGTGGATGATTAGTTTAACTAGTCCTGCCTCCTCCCTGAAGTACCTTCCCCACCCTGCAGTCACAGTGGTCTCTAATCTGTTTTGATTATGTTATTTCCCTGTTTAAGCCTTCAGGGATTTCTCACTGTTCCCTAAACAAAGTCCAAGTCCCTAAGCATGGCACACAAAAGGCCTTCTAATCTACCCTACCTCCAGCCATGATGTCCCTCAAATACCACTGTGCCCACATTTATCCCTTTACTTTCAATTAGCTTATCTTAGGTTTTCTATTGTTGTGAAGAGACACTATAACCACGGCAGATCTTATAAAGGAAAACATATCATTGGGGTGGCTCACTTACAGTTTCAGAGGTTTAGTCCATTATCATCATGGTGGGAAGCAAGCAGCATGAAAGCAGACATGGTACTAGAGAAGGAGCTGAGAGTTCTTACATCTTGACCCGCAGGCGGCAGGAAGTAGTGTAAGACAGTGGGTGTGGCTTGAGCATATATGGGACTTCAAAGCCCACATCCATAGTGACACACCTCCTCCGGCAAGGCCACACCTACTCCAACAAAGCCACACCTCCTAATAGGGTCATTTGCTTTCAAATCACACTTCCTGAGTCCATTTGCACCCGCCCAACCTCCACCTGACTTTGATAGCTCATTCACCCTCCAGCCCCTGCCCCAGCCCCTGGCCATTCTCCAGAGGCTGGACCCCACCTATGAGACCCCACCTATGAGAGAAAGTGGGTGTCCTGCTGTGCACATGTTGCCTCCCCCATCACCATACCACACCATCCTTCATGACCACTAGATTTTGCACGTTTGATGTGAATGTCCTCCCCACTGGGCCAGCAGCTCCTTGAAGGCAGCAATGTTCTTCCACAGTGGATTCTGGGTGCGCCATCACCACAGGGATGCTCACTCTATAAGCCAGGGCAGGATCTACACAGAGGTTGGAAAGGGAGCAAAGGCCCCACTGCAGCTCGAAAGGAGGCCTGTAGAGTCAGTTTGGAGCGATGCCTGGAAGTGGCTTAAGCCTGGGTCCCCATCTGAGGGCTTAGGCTATGCCAGTGATGCTGAAAGCAGAATGCAGATACAGGATTCCAAGTGCTGCTGCCCCAGGCTGTGGCCTGCATTGCACAAGGTCTATCTCTTTCTCCTTTCACAGGTATGACACTATCACTAACCAATGGGAGGCAGTAGCCCCTCTGCCCAAGGCAGTGCATTCAGCAGCCGCCACTGTGTGTGGCGGCAAGGTCTACGTGTTTGGTGGGGTCAATGAGGCAGGCCGAGCCGCAGGTGTCCTTCAGTCCTATGTGCCACAGACCAACACATGGAGCTTCATTGAATCCCCAATGATAGGTAAGAATCTGGGATCTCCCCAGTCCAGGCCAGTGGGGCCCTCACAGTCCAACATCCCAGATAGAGTTAGGCTAAGTCCAAAGAGTCTGCAGAACTAGTCCAGTGGTAGGTAGTAGGTAGCCCCAAAGCCCAAGTGCAACGGGGATGCCAGTACCTAGAAAAGGGCAAGCCAGTCAAGACTAGGGGTGCTCCTGGACCCCAGCCTGACCTCAGGAGAATCAGTGACACAGTGACACTGGAAACACTGCTGGGAAAGAGAGGAGGGAGGCCAAGACCACAAACCTTGATCACCTGTTGTTCTGTCCTCACAGACAACAAGTACGCACCTGCTGTCACCCTCAATGGCTTTGTGTTCATCCTGGGAGGAGCTTATGCCAGAGCCACCACCATCTACGACCCAGAAAAGGGCAATATCAAGGCAGGCCCGAACATGAATCACTCTCGCCAGTTCTGCAGGTGAGGAGGAGGTTGTGGAGGACAAGGGAGAGGTGCATGGGTGAACCCATGGGCAGAAGTGTGATTACAAGGCTCAACACTTCCTCAAACCAGAACAATTGCAACCTGGAGCAGTAGCCTTCCCCATCCCCCACCCACAGAATAGATGTCAGGACTAGAGAACAAGATGGAGCCCATAAGAGTGGCTGTGATAGGATCCTGTGGTAGCAGCTGGCCCAGGATCCCCAAACTGTGGTTTTGTAAGACCTTATTGAGCTCACACTGGAAGAGACATCAAAGCCACCCTCTCTTCAGTGAGAAGCAAGGCCAGCTCTCCCCCAGGGTGCCTTCAAGAGGCATGTAGGAACAACTTGGCCTCTGAGGGGAATGTTCTGGTCTCATGTGTTACCCCCATGATGGCCCAGGCAAGAGCACAAGCTACATCTGCCCCAGAGTCTCAAAGGCTTACTGACTAGCTGAAAGCTTGTGGAGAAAGAAGAGGGAAAACACAGGTTGGCTCCTAGCACCCTGACCCCAGGTCCATGAGACACTATTCCTTGCTCTTCTGGTCTCCTTCTCCTAAGAGGAACACGAATAAGGGAGACCTCAGATATGCCATTTGCAGAGCCACAGCAGGTTCTTTCCGAAGATACCTTATTGTCTATGCAGAGGCAATGATTAAGTTTTCAGTTATCAGTAACAAGAAGCATTTATTGAGTACCTATTGTTTCAATAGTTACCACAGAAGATATCTCTCACTCCTAACATGTAGCTACAACTTGGGTAAGTAGCTTCCCCAGCCCTAGGAAATCCTGTCTCCTCTGGTGTTTAGACCAGAGAACTTTGAGGCTCCTGGTAGAGTTCCCATTCCTCAGGTTTTTAACTGTCCTTCAGCTCCACAACCAAAATCTCCTTCTGACTTTCCTAGCACTGACAGTGATGTCTGGACTACTGAGTTGATGAGGAAGAGGCCCTTGTTTCACCTGAAACTACAAATAACAGGAAGCAATGAATGCCAGGGGTGGGTGGAAGCTGGCTTTTGTGAGAGAAACAGGGAGATAGTCAGCCTTTAAAAAAAAAAAAAGACATGAAAGCCCAGAGTAGCAAGGAACTGGAGAGGAGCACCGTGGGAGCCTCGGTGTCCAATAAGAAATCTAGATTTGGGATGTGTTCTGATCAGGACCTTGCAAAAAATGAGTAGAGCCTTGGAAGACTTCTGGATCCGTTTTCAAGAAATAGTCGAAAAGAATTGGCCATTTGATGGAGTAAAGGGGAAGTCAGGGCTAGAAACATGCTAGAAGCAACAGCTGAAATGCATTAAGAATTAAGTGCAGCAACTAACCAAAGGGCCAGGCTCCTGGAGTACAATCAAAGTGAGGGAGGAGCGAAATATGAACAAAGGAATCAAGACCATGATGGGAAACCCACAGAATCAGCTGAACAGAGCTAGCGAGAGATCACTGACTCAGGACTGACAAATGGAAAACCTGCATAAGACTGAACTAGACTCCCTTAATATAGGTGACAATGGTGTGACTGGGACAATATATGAGGCCACTGGCAGTGAGTCCAAGACCTAACACTAATGCACAAACTGACTTAGTGGAGGCCATTCTAAATGGATACTTTGCCCAGCCTAGACACAGGGGTGTGGAGGGTGGAGAGGGGCCTTGGTCCTGCCTGAACAAGATGATGGGACAGACTTAGTAGACTTCCCAGGGGGCCTTACCCTCTCTGTGGAGCAGATGGAAGGAATGGGAACTGGCATTGGAATGTAAAAAATAAATTAATAAAAAAAGAATTTTGTTTGCCTCTACTTAGTGAAAGCACAGTATCCTAAGTGGAAAATGCAATGTCTAATATGGTGGAAAATGGAATGTCTAAATAAAACTATTTAAATTGGCACCAAAAAAAAAAAAGAATTAAGTGCAGGGCTGGAGAGATGGCTTAGTGGATAAGAGCACTTGATGTTCTTGCAGAGGACCCGGGTTCGATTCTCAGCACCCACATAGAGTTTCACAGGTATCTGTAATTCCAATTCCAGGAGGGGGGATTCAGTGTCCTCTTCTGACATCTGCAGACACTTGGCATGCATGCTTGTGCAATACACATCTCCAAGAAAAACATAAAATAAAACAAAGGTAATTCAACGCCATTTTTAAAAAGTGCAGACTGAGCAGGACACTGGGCTTTTGGAAGCACTGACTTGCATAACAGGTCCCAGGCATCGAGTGTCACTCAGGCAACAAGTCCAGGCAGACCCTGCAGAGCGTGCAGCCCTTGAGTCACAGGTGGAAGCAGCCTGGGTCATATGTGCTGTGAGACAGGAAGAAGGTGGGACTCTAAGGTCCCTGGGCAGAGGGGCAGGGCTCCCCATCATAGGGCAGCTACTTGGTTTGATCTGACCCTTGTTGTTCTGTCTCTTGGCATTTTGAGTCATGTGCCCAACTCAGAAGGCTCTGCACACCCAGTAGGCAAATAGGCTCAGTAAAGGCCCAGAGATGGGCAGGCACCTGTGTAAGAAGTGACCCCCTTTGCAGCTGTCCATAGTCTGTCAGCAGAGCTGGGAGAAGAACCTAATGAAAATGAACATATCTCCCCTAAGAACAGTACCACATGACACCGGTGCCTAGTATTCCTGTAGAAAAAAATGTCTTTATTTTGTTGTTTATTGGCCCAGGTTAGGTGGCAAAGAACAAGATCCCACACCACCTATGCAAGAGCATCTAGGGGCCCTCTCACCAGGACGGTGTTGGGATTCTGTCTCCAGAGCCAATATCAAGGCCTAACTCTCTGCCCCTCTTTCCCTCTGATAGTGCTGTGGTGCTTGATGGTAAAATTTATGCAACTGGAGGCATCGTGAGCAGCGAGGGACCAGCTCTGGGCAACATGGAAGCCTACGAGCCCACAACCAACACATGGACCCTCCTACCCCACATGCCCTGTCCTGTGTTCAGACACGGCTGTGTCGTGATAAAGAAATATATTCAAAGCGGCTGACATCAGCAGACAGCCCAGGACAAGCCTATGGGACGAGTCTGGTGAGGCAAATGCCACACCCCATGGTTATCTTTCAACACCAACGAGAGGCCCACAAAACACAATCAAGAAACTCACTGCGCTAACATTTCGAATATTCTCTACATTGAATGTAGAAATTCATCCTCGCCTTTTGGGTGAAGCGGGGCCAAGCGCTCGGGCAACAGGAACCTGGAACACACAGAGCCAGGGCTCGCTGGCTAACCAAGGCGCTTGCTCTCAACAGGGGGCGCTCGCTCTGCCCGGTGCAATAGTTTCACATATTTTTCAACTGGGAGAGAAGCTGTTTTTTTCCTTCTTGCAGAGCAAGCTCCATCCCTAAACCACCATAGATCAGTTATCCTGTGACAATATTGGGCATCAGGCTCTTTTGGAATAAGGTCAAAGTGTCCTTATCACTTTGATTCCTGCTTTTGTTTTTGTTTTTTAAACCAATCTACACTTTCAAGTGGCCGAGAGAAAAAACGAGGGATGGGACTGTGCAGCACCAAGGCCTAGGAAGGGACTGGTTACCACCAGACAGGAAAGAGGGCCAGCTGTGTGTGTAGAGCCAGGGCTGGCAGCCACAGGGATCGCTGGGTAGAGCTGCCTGGCCTTCACGGGTTTTTCTACCATGTTTTTGCTGCAAAAGGAAATGGTGGATGTGCTAGCTTTCTTTTAGCCAGTATGAATTATTTAGATTTCCAAGGCATTTTCTTGATACACAAAAGGCTATTTTTAAGTACTGAGAGGAGGAGGCCACAAGAGGGACAACGCTGTGGGACTTCCCAAAGCTCTTTGTAGGTAGTGCCAGAGGCGGGGCACTTGCTCTGATTTTTTCTATGTGCAGAGTAGAGGATCTCTCCTGAGGTGGGCCATGTCCCCACTTTATTTTTGGAAAAAGTTAACTCCCAGACATCCCTGAAAGGCCATGCCTCATGGAGGCATTGTCAGGGGCAGAAGGGTCTATTCTAGAAGAGTGTAGTTCTGGCTTCTGACACCAGTCCAGCTCCCTCCATGAGGTAAAGCTGAGGACCTAGGCCCAGGAAAAGGACTGAGGGAGGGAGAGGGAAGAAATGTCCACAAAGCACAGGAGACTATTTTTGATATTTATAGCTATATATTCAAGGCACCTGCCACGAGAGCTCTCAGGATGGGGACAGCTTTCTTAGACGAGCCATGACAGCCACGGCCTGAGGGGCAAGAGTAGAAACACTCTTCTTGTTGCCTTGTACAGTAACCTGAGGAAAGGGAAGCCAAGAGCGAGCTCCCAATGAGGCTCAAAAGAGAAAGGCCTTCCCATTAGTCTTAGACCCTCAAACCTCACCCGGTCATCAGTTTCCATTCCAGGGCAGGAAGAAGGCCGCCACCACCGCCACCGTGCTGTTTAGTTGAAGTTAGTACCAAATACACACCATTTTTCTACCTGGGAAGTCAGCTCGCCATCACTTCATAAGAACCATTGACAAGAGAGAAAAAGAGACAGGACACACTCTCCATCATTCAGTATTGGATGACACAAAATTCCAGTCCTAACTGCGGGCATCAACTTCTAGCATTGCAAGTGTGGCTCCCACTTGACAAGATACCGAGCTTCGTTATGCAGTTTTTAATATTATTTATTATTTAAAAAAGTAATAAGCACAAAACTACATACATTGTATGTCATTTAAAAGTATTTATGTCAAACAGGGTGCAAGTGTGAACCCAAGGACTGGAGCACAAATTTCTAACTGCCTGGGGCAGGGCGAATGTGAGCATTGGTGTGCGTCTGCCTCCAAGGGAGGTGTTAGTGGTCAACAGGACTCCGCAGATGACACTGAAATTCCGTTTCTCTCCTCATCTATCACACTGGAGCAAAACTGGCTATTTCTGTGAATGATATAAAACAGGGTTCTCTGTACTGGTATTGTATATAGTATATGTTTATTGTTAAGTTGTTATATTATAATAAATATATTTATAGATCTAGACTCAGAAGCCAATGCAATGTCTTTGTGTGCCATTGTCTTTGCCTCAGTGTCACGACACCCCTGTGCAAGCCTGTTATTACCTCTAGTTACCAAGAGTCTGTGTCCTCTTATAGAAGTCCATGTAGGTTGTGAGGATTGGAGAGGACCATTTTTGCAAGAGGACAGAGACAGATAAACAGTAAGTAACCAGTAAAGGACAGCTGAAGGTCAAAGTTGAAAGGCTTTATGGACCCAGGGAAATTGGCCTAGACTATTTATTCCCTTAGCACCTATGCTCTTCTCATCACAAACATGCATCTGAAAGCTCCATAGCTGGCTCCCCGCATCCCACCCTTTCACTCCTACACTGGAGCCATTTAATGTTCTCAATTCATCAGCTTAGTGAGAGATACAAGATGCTTCCTCTAGGAAGAAAATCAGATGTGATTTTCATGCTAAGACCCAGGTAGGGTGGCCTCCCTGCTTCCACAGTTGTGCCTGAAAGGTTCTCTAGTCTGCCACACAGACCCTCTTTGCTGTGCCCAGGACACCTAGGCAAGGTTTATTGAGCATGGGATGTGGAATGCCTCTCTCTGTCAGGAAGGAAGTTTTGAAGGAGAGAGTAGATTTTCCAGCATCATCCGCATGAAGCAGCCATGCCCTTCATCCCTAAATCTTGCCAAGGTCTAATGTCTCCTTGAAAGCAAAAGCCTAATAAGGTCAGAAGAGGAGGTGAGAGGAGGGATTCTCTTGAAAACTTGGTTGTAGGGAGAGACTCTGATTACAGGTACCATTTGAGCGTGGTCACAGGTATGCAGCAGGGTGTAGATAAGAGTGAGGGAGAGCCGGCATAGGCTCTCACTGGGGGCTCACACACTGCAATATACCTGTGACCATGCCCATTTGGGCCTGGTCAGCAGTACCTGTAATCAGGGTCTCTCCCTACACTTGGTTGAAGCCTTGGGATGAGTGGACCATACATCTATCAAATGAATATTTCCCTAGGAACAGCAATCCTGCAAGGACAGATGAAGGCTGACTAAAGGGTGCCAATGGTAAAGAGCTATAACTTGTGATAAAAGCAGTATGCTAGTGCCATTCTTGTCTATTCCATTTTTTTTAAATCAAGGCAAATGTTCTCATGGTCCATGAAGAGTCTCTGTGTTTTAGACCTAACTCTGGTGGTAAACAGATTCCATTCTACCATAAAAAGATGAGCTCACTGGATTAGGAGACCCACCCTGAGAACCATCAAGGTACAACCACCTGATCTAACAAAGATGGTAAGAAGGCAGTCCACGTTGTGTGTGGATTTTTTTTTATGAACCTCAATACAAGAGAGCAATCAGGAGAAGTCTCTATTGCCTGTGTGATAAAGAGTATCTTCATTAAAGAGACCAGGTAATGCAATTGAAAAATGTTAGTAGAAATAGGTGTTAGATTAAAAATAGCAATAACACTAAAGGTGCTGGCAAATAGAATCCAAATGTTTAAAAAAAAATCCCAACACTGAAACTCAACAAAGCATGAGGCTATTGCAGCTATTGTAGCTATTAAGTTAAACTCCCTAAACCCACCTATAGAGAGAGCTGTGCTGAGGAGGAGACTCTACAGTAGGGCCAAGGGCTCTGCAGATGGACAGCAAGGCATCAGGCACCCTGTATTAGGAGCCAAGGAGCACTGAGTAAATCACTTCTAGACAGCTATAAAGAAATGACATGAACCCTAGGAAAATAATGCCAACAGGGTGTGTGAGAATGACTAGTACTCATCTGTTGACACAAATGGTGTGCCAGCCACCACACGAAGCTCACAAAGCAGGAGATCCTCACAGTTGAGGTATGAAAGACACAAAGGCAAAGAAAATTCATATTTGTACAAGACTGTAGCTTAAGATGTGCGGCTATGTATGGAAGATATATATGCATGTGTCTAGATGTACATAGAAGAACCCGCTTCACAAGACCACCTAGAACTTCTAAGTTCTAGCAACTCTGAGACCAGGGTCCTTCTTCCTCCCCAAGCTACCTCAGAAACCCTTACATTCATACAAATGACCAAGTGTGCAGCCCTATTGTTGTACTCATGGAATTGCGAGCATATATTCTTTTCAAGAATTTATATAACTATAAGTAATTATATAACCACTTCTATAATAAAAATGTAGATATGCTATGCATATGGTTTTTTTTCTTTTTTCTGCAGTGCTAGAGGATCACACCCAAGGTTGTATGGGAAGCAACTGCTCTGCCACTGCACTGTGTCCCTGATCCCTGTGAAGTGCTTCTGTTTTAATGAGAGACAGAAAGTAATGTTTCCCTGAGTTTCAGTCTAAGGAATTGTGTGTGTGTGTGTGTGTGTGTGTGTGTGTGTGTGTGTGTTTGCGTGCGCACATGTGTATAGGACCACCAAAAGCAGTAAAGAAATCAAAGTATTCAAAATAAAGTATCTGAGAAAATTAAAAATAACAAAACAGATCACCAAATATTAGAATTCTGGAGTATATTACCAAGATCCTGTGAAAGTCACTGATTCTCATTTTCCTCCTCTCTCTCCTCTCTCTCTCTCTCTCTCTCTCTCTCTCTCTCTCTCTCTCTCTCTCATTGTTTACTTTTTGAGACAGGTCTTATTAAGTTGCCAAGGCTGGCCTTGAACTAACAACCCTCCTGCCTCATCCTCCTGAGTAGCTGCAGTTGTAGGTCCTCGACACTAGGCTATGATGTGCAGGTCTTTAGACCACAGGAACATGCTTGTATGGTGCAGCTGCACACAGCATCTCACTTATGCTCTCAACTGCCTCGGCAGCACAGTGTACCATCGCCATACTTTATAAAGTGAAGAAGGTAATCAACACAGAGACAATCAGAGGATATGAACGGAATGTGAACCTAGTCCTGCCACAGTCCTGAAGAGGATACCCAGGTAAGCCCACCAGACTCTGAGACTTCAAGTCAGTTGGTGGCCTGTCAGTGTCAGGGCAGCTCAGTGAGCACATGGCTCCCCAAGGCATCACTTGCTTAGCTCTTAACT